GGGGGGGGGGGGGGGGCAGTCCCAGTAAACCAGGAAAGGCTCCCTCTTTATGCTTTATTGGAAATTCCCAGCCTCCCCCCCACCCCCGGCATGGAGTACCTGTAGCACTTAATTCACAGTGGTGTGTGACAGAAGTTCGCAGCCTCTATCACTCTACCCTCTGCTATAAATCAGATGGTTCAAGCCATCCATAGGGTAGGGTGGAGCTGATGGGCAGGATGCTTGGAAGACTGCTTCTAGTGATGGTAGCTCATTGTTAATTCACTGAACGTGCCCTGTTGAGTGACCTGCTTGTCAGAGCTGTCAATTATGCTACATGTGTCAATCTGTATAGAAAAAAATACTCTGCAAAAAAAGCAGGTGGTTTGGGGTAATGCAGGCATGCATACCCCACACACTCCCAGTTCATGACTTGCCAGAAGCAAGTCCCACAGCTTGTCTTGTCATCACCATGGTTGCCACCAAACTGCCGCACCCTGTAAGTATCTCAGGCTTGGGTCGGAAGAAGATGGAAAACACCAATTTCACACTGGATCAGAAATTTCTGAAGTCAGATGGCCTCTTCTGTGGACTGGGGATCAGAAGAAGGCTGCATTATGAGGGGATGGCTTTAAACACTGGTTATTGAGGCATCCCCAACATAAAGATAGGGGAATGTGTGCAATAGTTGATCTGGTGTGATGGAGCCCTCAAAGACTAAAGGGCCTGCTTTTCTGTTGGTAACTGACTGAAGTTGGACAATTGACCTTATGTAACAATTATTTGATAGCTTTTATTATTATATTTAAATCTCTCTTTGTGGTGGGTGGGGGTATAAGAATAAAGTATGCATCTAAATATGTCACATTATCAGATATTTAGGAAAAACTGACTTGAAGAAGACAAAAAGTACAGAAACCCCAAATGTAAATGCACTGATTCGTCTAGATGGCAAGGACAATTGTAAAAGCAAACTGCAGTCACATATTTTAAAAGTCTGTATCTTTAATTATAAGGAATTTTCCAAGAACTTTTGCTAATGATAAAACAGTTACTTCCTATAAGCAACTTTTTTTTGGTTTTATGCCATTTTCTAATAACAAAAACATATCAAGAATTATCTGTTGAAACTGATGGCTGCATTCACATGACATTTTGGTCCAGTGTTAATTTACCCAAGTTAATTTAGTCAATGAATCCAATCTTCTGGGTCTGTAATGAACTGTAAAATTAGCCACACCAACTGAGTTGACCCAATATATTAGACTAAAATGTGGTCAGCAAATTTTGTGGATCAATGTGTTATGTAATGTAGGGTTTTCCTTGATGAGTTGACTGAATCTAAGCAAATCACTCAGAATTAGAAGAAAAAGATTCAGTAATATTAAATAAAATGCTTTTAGGTCACACATTCACAAAGTTTCTAGTCCAGGGTAAGATCAGTCTCAAATTTAGTAAGATTCATATAGGAAAACAGCATTAGATAAAAGTATGTCTTGCTTATTCCATATACACACCAGCATACAGTACAAACTCTGTAATGATGCAAAAATGAAAACGTGTATTGTGACAACATGAACCCTGGACTTTTGTACTTATGTCCTGACATTGGACAGAAGAATGTAAGTCATGAGGTTTCAATGAAATGTCACGACACACATTTTGTCATGGATGCTATACAAACACATGCAATACTATAATTTTTTTTAAAAAATTACCTGAATCTGGTGAATGGGAATCAAGTCCTAGAAAAAGTAAACATTGAAGTTAATATATGAGGTTTGATTAGTATTCTTACAACTTGTTTTAGTCTCTGAAATTCAAGGAAATTTACTTACCAAACATACACTCTTTGAATTTAATGAGATTTTTAAAGATTAGCATTTAAAACATCTACTTTGGGAACAATCGTCATGAACTCAGTGGGATGTACATGAAAATAAGCAGCATAGAACAAGGGTTTTTTTAAATAGTTTTAACTTTTGCTTGGTCCAAACTCTCTTTTATTTATAAGAGTTCAACAACTTGGTTCATACACATCATCCTAAACCATTTGTGACTAAGTGTTCTCTGAATCAGTATTAATTCAGATACAATACTGAGCCATAAACCACGGTTTACCACCTCTATGGTGGCAAGAGTAATAATAATATTAATGTCTGTCTACTACTATATGAAACAGCTAATATTTATAATACTTCTATTTCAAAACCAAAACTCTCTGGCAATTACAAATTGCTAAAAACATTTAATATTAAATACATGAGAACCAGCAATGTTTTGAGGGGAGACTCATGAAAAATGAAGAATAAACGATCTGGAACAAACCTCAACAACCTTCCAGCCAGGGAATTCTAGGAGCTGAAGTCCATATACTTTAAAGTTGCTGAGGTTGAAAAACACTGATCCAGAGCCTCCAGAACACTGTTTCTCAGCCTCGGCAACTTTAAGATGTGTGGATTTCAACTCCCAGAATTCCCCAGCCAGCCATGCTGCTCTGGAAGCTCTTTTCACTTTTATTGACCATATTTTGGCAAGATCACAGTTAATCTGTGATGTCTTTCTCTGTAGAAACTATTTTAAAACTGTGTTTAATTAATTAATTTTAATTTTAAAATTAATTCCTTAATTATGTGAAAGATATATTAAAACACTTTACAGATAATTTGATAATTAATTTAAAAGGAGCCATAATGGCTGTAGACGTTAACTTCTCTAAAGCAGCTGAACAGTCAATTTTATATACTGAAAACAAGAGTGTTTTCTCAATGCTTAAATGCATTTACTCTTTGCAAATTCCCTGCTTAAAAAATAACCATGAAGTATGCATGGATTATCTGAAATTACTCTTCCCTTCTGCTACCTACCCACTGCTCAGGAGACTACAAAAACACTGAGTCAATACCTGTGGCTCCATTCAATTATACTCAGAGTTATAATTCTTCTTCTGATATAATTCATCTGAAATAATTCATCTGATTCAATTCCCTGGGCTACTATCAAATGCATTTGTTTAAAAAAGCATTTAACTCAGAATTGTTTTTGAATGTTGGTGACAAAATGACTTGACACTTTTAAGAAACACATGGCTTTTGCCATTTTGCTATCATAATTTTTTTAAAGCAAAGAGCTTCATTTTTCTATGTTGACAGTGTCTGTGACAACATTTAGCTAAGGGTTGAAGGTAATTGCTAAAAGCTGCTAATATCTGAAATCTAGTTTATGATTTCTAATAGCCAAAGGGAAAACCTTTCAATCCAATGTTCTAAAGGGCACTCAGAAAATGACAAATGTTCCACTGCTTTCAGTTTGGTGAAATTGTCGAAGCCTGAAAGCTACTTCCTAGTCTTGCACTACTGAGTGTCTTCTACTCCTTTTCAATAGGGAATTGTAAACAGTGTCCATCTAGTTGAGCAAATACAATCACAAAATAGAAAAAGTAAAGACAGTATTTTACTTCAACACACAAACTTTTGGGGGCATGCTACTAATTTTGTACAGTTGTTCTTAAACCAGTTTATTCTTCAAACTATTACAGTGCCCTTGTTCTTCTATTGTCACTGGCAATATTGTATCCTGGAATGGGTAAGTATTCCTCTTCTTTCCTGAACATTTGAGCTGAAGACTCTCACTGAGGCCTAATTGTAGACTCTGCTCACATAATTCCTTAAAAATGCCTGAGGCTAAGCGGAATTAAAGTTCAATCAATGGTTCAGCATGATAAGCAAGTATCATTGCCTGGATTGCTTCTGTTGAAGCCTCTACATCAGAAATGTGCAACCTCACATGATCCCTCAAAATAGCATGTGTGCAGCCTACAGACCCTCCCAAAGTTGCAGTGGAATTGAATTGAATATATGGAAACATTATCTATAATGGAATAATTGATGTTAACTGAATTCAATTAATTTTCTTTAATACAAGTAGTCCTTGTTTAGCGACTGCCTGAAACAGTGACCATTTGTTATGATGGTGATGAAAAAGTAACTTTGTGATCAGTCCTCGGATTTACAACCTTCGCAGGCCTGTAAAGCGAAGGAAAGCTGAAGTAAGATTGTAAGCACAGTCGCAGTTTCACTTAGAAACTGCTTTGCTTAATGACCGAGTTGCCAGTCCCAATTGTGATTGCCAAACAAGGATTCCCTGTATTAATTACATCTAATTTTAATTTAAATGTAATCAAATGTCATGTTGATCCTGAACATTTGTACTTTTATCTCTGGCTAACATTCATTTTCTAAATAATAGCCTACCTATGAATAAAGTATGTTAATCTGGAATTCCTTTTTATAGTTTAAATGGGTGGACAGTGTGTGCAACAGCTTCTCATGTGTTCAAAGTCTATTATTTCATATAAATGTTTGGAATGTCTGTAAGGTCTAGTACTACGTTTAGGACCACATTAAAACATCTGTGCTTCCTTTTTATTTCTATACTACATTTCCTAGACCACTGATATCTATCTGATATGTGATGTCTCCATATGTTTGCAATACAAATGTCACAATTCTTTGCCACAGTATATGCTGGTGGGGGCTAATTCTAAAATATCTAAAGGATATCAGGGTTACCTACCCCTGACACAAACAACTGGAATGTCCTGTATAGCACACTGCTTAATTCTAATAATTAGAAGAGAAACACTGAACAGTGATGGAATGACAGACTCATCACAATAACAATTGTGAGGATCTGTGGTTACCAGTTCTAATATTCAGTTCTAACGCACAACATATAAAAAACAACACAACGACACTGAAGTGTGGCATTCCATGGTTAACAGCTATACCTGCAGTCAATAGGTTTGGAGAACTCTGAACTCTCTTCACCGCTGTTAATTTGACAGACATGGCAGCACGTTTGCGAGCACACCCACCACTATCTGAAAGCAGAAAAGGACACAGGCACAAGCCCACAACGTAGAACGCAAGCACATGCGACGTACACAGTGAGGATTATTGAGATATGTAAATGTGGACATAAATCCATGCAGTTAGAATTTGTTGTTGATCCTTAGATATTTGTACATACGTACCAAAAGGTTGAGGAAGCTGTTGTTAATTAATACTGCCATTCCAAAGAATACACCAGCCAAAGAGATTTAGCGTGTGCTTTCCAGTATTTGAAAAATCAGTTGGGTGTACCTAACTCACCACAAAAAAAGACTAAAAGGCAGGATTAAAACTGACACATTGAAGTAAGGAACTAATCATAACGCAGAAGTAGGAGGTAGTGTGTGGCCATCCATGGAATATTTTGATACAGATTATTAAAATGATAGCCTGAATTATTTACTAGAAGGCAGAAGTGCATGGACAAGTAACTTTTTACTTTCATCTAACTATCTTCCAGCTCCATTAGAAAGATTAAAAAAAAAAGTTTAACATTAATTTATAGTACTGCATAGCAAGTAGCCTTTTGGTGGCTCAGGGCCACCCTTAATATTTGTTGATAGAAGAATTGTAGGGGACAACAACGCAAAATGGGTATAGCTGCTTTTTATTTTTTTTTTCCTGGATTTTTGGAAACAAGTTTAGGTTTTCTCTTAAAAAAACAAAACACCTTAAGCCTATTTTAGAAACACGACAGTCTCTGCCTAAAATGGTGAGAAACCACAATATTGATTTTCAGCAGTCATGACTCTAGGATGCTGCAAGTTCTTCAGAAAGAGTCTGGGGCTGTAACTATTCCTGATTTATAGTAGTTTATGAGGGATGTGGAGAATGCTAGAATTTGGTTGTGAGCAAATGCCCTTTTAGTTCTTCAGAAAGGGCAATGAAATTTCTCACTAGGGATTATTAACTACTTAACAGAAACAAATGTGGCAGAAAGTTCTGGCTGTAATTGGAAAAACCATGGGAAAGGATTTTCCCAGTCAGAATTTATAGGATTTATGCACGCAATAATTTTGAATCTTGGAGATTTTGCATTTATAAACTTCTTATTTTAAATCTTGAAATTAACTCCCCTCCCCCCACCCAAACTACTATTCCCAAAAGAAAATGAAAGAAGAAGATGATCAGCTTTGATGTTATGTTATGTTTAAACATATACAAAGACATAGCTGTCAATCTGCCTGCTGTTTATTAAGATGCTGGCATATGTTTTAAAAGACCTAAAAGCAAGTGAAAATATTAATGGAAAGCACCAAAGTAAGAATGACCAAAGTAAGAAGTTAAGAGTAATACTAGGAGAGCTCACTCCAACAGATCTTGAATCAAATTTCATGACTTAATATAAGAATGAGAAAAGGGCCAAGGAAGAGACCAGTGAGGAAATTAAATCAAAGCAACAGGCCAACCCAAGCAATGTTATTATCCTCAGCCAACTCAGACTTTAGCATATACTGAGTGATATGATATTGTTTAAACTTCCCAACCTGGTATCCTTCAGGTATGCTGGACAACAACTACAATTCAACTGCCAGAGTAGTCCAACACATCTGGATGGCTGCTATAATACATTAAGGTCCTTTTCTCCCCCTCCAAATTAATTTCATTTTTTAAAGTCTATCAGTTCTTGTGCATTTTGCCCTGCCCTAGATGAATAATAATAAACAGGTAACCCATTCCATGTTCCTGAAATGCAAGAACGTATCATTCATAGCAAGGGACCTCATGTGCTGTAAGGCCAGTATAAGAAGCGGCCTTCCCTCTTTGTTGGTGTGGCCCTCTAGGGCAGAATAAAATTCTAGAAAATGTCCGTCATACTGGGGTGCATTATACACATTCAAAACCATCTAACACTTTCATCCAGGGTCTTTTGTGTGCATCATCTTATATAGCCCATTTTTTGGGGGAAACACAAGGAATGTACCAGGATATCTAACCACAGGTGAACTGTATATTTTGTATACAAGGCGATTTTATTATGAGCACAAATTCTGAATTTAAGTTGCAATGGTCAAATTTTTACAAGTACTTGAAGATTTGGCTCTTGTGCTTCCCATATACTTCATGGCAAAACCAATTATTGGATTACTCAGCCCTAATTGTGCATAAAGAGAAGACAATTGCATGGGGCATGCCTACTGGATTTAAAGGAAATCCAGTTTGGTTGATTAAAAGTTTCTGTGATAGCATGCAAAGTTTTTTCAAAATCAAAGAAAGCCCAGAATATTCTGATTATCCATCGCTGGAAAGAGTAAGGTTTCTATCTAAAGTAGGTGGAATCTGCAATACTAACGCTGGTAGAGCTGAGCCTCTAGGATACATACTATTCTAAGTTTAGGAACTGCTCTCAAAACAAACTGTTTATTCAGCAGTGCATATAGCATGCAGGCTTATTTTGATGTGTTTTGAGAACATACCAGATGAATGGCAACAACTTTGCATGATGACAATTTAACACTGACAAAGTTAAACCTCATAGATTTTTGCACTCTCCAAGGACTGTGGTTGTTTTTACAAGGTTTGTATTTATGTCTTTCATTTATTATAAAGCAGTTGGCTTATTTAATCATTTTAAAATGAGATGCATTTATCACAATATTATCCTTGCCTAAATATTTATGGAAGGACACTAAGGATCCATTTTAGCAAGTTAACTTTGGGCCCTTCATTATCTATGTGTGAAAAAGGTTTGCATATAAACAGTCTGCCCACTTTATAAATTATTTGAAATGTTGTCTTCTTAGAAGGAATTTGGGTAAGTGGAAAGCTTGGTCTACCGATCCACTTAAATCCATTTTAAATTAATGCATTTAGATTTAAACTGTTTAATCCCACTAAAGTTAAAGACAAGAATTCTTTTTACATCTGGCGAGAGAATATTTACTGGTAGATTGTGGATGTGTGTTATCTCTGCCAAGCACTGTACAAGTAGCATCCTAGAGATTTTTAAAATCAACATTTACAGTCCCTTTGGCGTTTTGTTTTACTACTGAATGGAAGAAGCAATGCTGCAGCCATGCACACTTCTTTATGAATAAAATACTTTTGTTCTGGGATCCAAAAAAAGGGGCTGAACTCTCAATTTTTGCAAATTGAGGTTGAGGAATTCAGATCTGCAGTTGAATCACTTTCATTTAGCCCTTTTGGAGTATTCCTTGAGTATGCATGAATAGTTTACCATGGTTTCACATAAAAATATGTCACTTATTTAGAATCAAATTATTGATGCCTACAGTGTTTGTAAAATACTATGAATGAAAAAAAGAGTCAATCAATGAGAAATGACTATGATATACCTACTTGAGACATCTGGATATACAACTGTGCATGAATTTTGCTTCGATCATGACATTGCATATTTTACACTATGTACATTTGATCCTGGGCAATAGGAAAAGTGGCTGTATCATTCTGCCTTAAATGAGTGGTTAGAGGCTTGTTCAGGTGCCTCATAATCAGCAGTCCCCAAACTGGAGCAATGTCTCAAGTAAAGGTTGGCATATGCTGAAATCTAGATGTTTTAGATTTCAATTTCCATCTGCTGGGTCAATGTCAAAAGATAATGGTACTGAAATCCGAACCATCTGGATGTCATTGGATTGCTTGTACATCTATATAATGGAAAAATCGGAGAGAAATGGAACATTTAATTTTTTTTAGATTTTTTTTTATCCTGCCTTTATTATTTTTATAAGTTGGCGAACATACCTAATACTCCTTCCTCCTATTTTCCCCACAGCCCTGTGAGGTGAGTTGGGCTGAGAGAGAATGACTGGCCCAAAGTCACCCAGCCACCTTTCATGCTTAAGGTGGGACTAGAACTCCCAGTCTCCTGCTTTCTAGCCTGGAGCCTTAACCACTAGACCAAACTGGGTCTCAATTTTGTTAAAGACAAAATTAAGAAAGAAAAGAAAAACAGTTTAAGAAATGGGCAGGGTCCAGCCCAACCTAAGTGCTAGTATGTCACTTTAATTTTTATAGGAGACATTCATGGATATACTTAATACTTGTCATAGACTTCAACAGGATTTGCACTAATTTGTATTATAAACACATGATGGTTGCTATCCTTCAATTATATAGATTAACCTTTAATTGATTTTGGAGAAATGTGTGGATACAGGATTTTTAAATGGGTAATGCTTGAATGCTGTTTTTTTTAAGGTGGCTGCTTAAAGGCCTACTAGTGAAATATTTATTAAATTTCCTCTCACAGCCATGTTGTATCCTGTTTCAACAGAGGTGAACCTCTATTGAATGTCTTTAGAAAACTAAAGGGTGCAGTTATGGTCTAAAGTAGAGGGTAATCAGCTATCTCTAGGTTTCATCTCTACTGTACTCTAAAGTCTTTCTAATCTTTTGCCATAGAAAAGGATGTCCCCATCTGGCTGCTTTAAAGACAGGAGAAAGAACCTTAATTCTTAAGGACTGCTTCCTCCCATATATTTATTTTCATACAGTTGGTTAGATATTTCAGATTTTGTTTCCACTTTTCCATTGCTAAATGTGATTCAGAGGGTGGGCAAAAGGGGCTATGCTTTGGGGGTGGGTTGTGGCCAAGACTTTTGGATGTACTCCCTGTAGTAGTCTGTACAGTCACATCAAAATTTGCTCCCAGCAGCTGGTGGACATCTGGCTCTTGAAAGAGCTCTTTGGAAAGACACATAACTGAACATTTGTTCTCTTTGATGGTTCTATGACTAGGTTAGATTATTAAATTATGTTTGACATTGTTTGGACTGTATTACTATTCCCTAGATTGCAGGACAGAATTTACACTTCCCAGAATAAAGATATATAGGCATCAAAAAGAGGTATTTGGTCATTGGTGGCCATCACAGAAACTGATACCGATAGGTTTTAAATACAGTTTTCCAAAAGGCGATAGATAATGTAAGACATATATCATGTATCTCAAACACTATATATGAAAAGTTATTTAAAATACTCCAGTAGGTGAATTTAAAACAAAATAAGTAAGCGACAATTAAATCATTGTAAAAGTAAATGGTTCACCATTAAAAAAAAAACCCTCTTGATTTATGCCACTGTGTTAGACTACATGGATATGCTCTTTGCCCCAATATATTTTACTAAATACCTGAAAATATATTGAAACAAAATGCAGATGCTTATTTACATATGCATGTATTAATGCATATATTTATACATACCAGCACATCTAGACAGATATACACCAAAAGTTCATACGCACACATGTAAGAAAGCAAAAAACTTATCTAAAGTTCTTCAAAATAGCTTTAACTTGCAAAACAATTTGCTTATTTCTTGTCCCATGAAAATGCATACCTGTGTTCATTTTGACTCTGGAAGGTTTGCTATTGAAGTCTTCAGTTTGCCTAGAGAAATAAACACAATCCGTTCATTTATCGATAGTACATGAGATAAAAGTCTTTTGAGTAGGGAGACAGAAGAAGAATAATGGCATTCAGGCTGTGCATGCTTCAAAAATGATTTGGGAAAACTATTTTGGAGTGAGAACACCGCACGTCTCCACTTTTAATTAAAGTATCCCATCTTTTCTCTGGCTTCTGAATAAATCTGAAAAAAAGCTACTGCTTTAATGAGAGAGGTGCTGTACCTGTGTGAGATCCAAAATGTTTCTTCTGATGCATTTTCAAAGTATGCACAGCCCTAACTGGTATATCTGTGTTATATCAATATATATTGTGTTTGGGACCAATCTTTATTCTATGCCTCCTTATGGTAAGTCAAAAGATCCACTGTTTCCTTCATTTTTCAAGAAGGAAGAACATTTCAGAGAAATTATCATGGATGCAATGGATGGCTGAAGACTGCTGGAAGGTGTCTGTTCTTCCCTTGTTCAATTTCCTCTTCATGGTCTCCAGCCTCCCTAGCTTCTCACACTTTGATTCAGTGTAAAGAGAAGACTTCATGAGGGAACTCTTTCATTGGGCTTTTTCAAATCAGAAGCATGGTCAGCCAGGGAAGCTGCAGAGAGTTGGGGCTGTCTGCAACATAAAAACACAACACCAGCACTCTTCCCTACTTTTTAACAGAAATTAAGCCCCAAATCACAAAAAAGAATGTGAAAGAAATGAACAATTTAAATGGGGGGGGGGGAAGGCCTTGGG